CAACTGCACCGCAAACCCACCTTAATAAATTTAATACATTGTATAACTCGTTCTGACGATTTGTGCTACAATGTAATTACAGGACCAACCATTGTGACATGCTAAAAGAACTAAACTGGCTGTTGCTGGAATCCAGACGCATCCTTCATCTTTCCAGTCTTGTGTTTAAGAGCTTTTCTGGGAAACTCCCACCCTACCTGAGCAAAATGCTCTCCCCGGCTGTTCCCACCTCCTATAATCTCCAATCCAGTACCAGCACTTTATTTAGTCTACCTCAATACAAAAAGAAAGAGACCCGATCCTCCTTTCTCTACAGAGCACCGCAATTATGGAACGACCTCCTGCACACTTTCAAATCTTCCCCAAGCCTAAAGTCCTTTAAGAGATCCCTCTCTACATACCTCAAAACAGGATGCATGTGACATGGTTGATTATATATTTCTTACCTGTTCTATGTTAAATTTTGTATATATTGTGTATTAATATTTTTTTTGTATGTAATTTTACCCTATTGTATAAATGCAATGTTTTGTGGACCCAGGACATACTTGAAAACGAGAGAAATCTCAATGTATCATTCCTGGTAAAATATTTTAGAAATAAATAAATCTGTTAGTAAAATGAGAATGGCACAATCTGGAAATGCACTAGTTGATTAATATAAAGACTAATGTGGTAAGCTTGAATACCAGTGGGTAGACCACTTGGAGGCAACATAACTCAAAATTGTGAACATACTTGCTGAGGCAGAGTTCACTGATATATAAAATAAATATAAATTAAGGTATAAATGAAACCTGACAGAAAGGAAGATTTTTAATGATAATCCTCGGTCTACCTATTCCCTTGTTGGATAAAATCAACTAAGGTGTGTGTATGCCAACAGTACATTTCAGCCGCAATGGAACCTTGGAATCTCATCATGCCAGACCTAAGCCTGTACGGGAGCTTTCACCAATGCTTCACTGTCCCAATTAGAAACAAAGTCCAAGGAATGTTTCCCAGAGAGTAGCAGTCTCCAAGGCAGGGACGTATTAGCTGCGAGGCAAACAAGGCATTTGCCTTGGGCGGCGCTTTCAAAATGCCTAGGCAAATGTCTTGTTAGCCTGGTGGCTAACTGACAATCCAGGCAGGCGGGCGGCGCTGGCGAGGGAACACTGATTAGTGAGCTCTCTGCTCAGCTCCCTGAGCCAGAATATGAACAGGAGGATAAGTGCTCCCTCTACGCCTGCAGTCACCGGCCGCCCAGCAGCCCAGCAGCCCCACTGGACCCCAGGGAAACGAGAATCCACCCCAGAATTCCCAAAAGTAAGGAGGCTGGGGGATTGAATTTTTAAAAAAAAATGTGAGTGTGTTAGTGTGTGTGTCTGTTAGAGTGTGTCTGTTAGAGTGTGTGAGTGTGTCTGTTAGTGAGTGTGTGTGTGTTTGTTAATGAGTGTGTGTGTCAGTTATTGAGTGTGTGTGTCTGTTATTGAGTGAGTGAGTGAGTGTGTGTGTCTTTTAGTGTGTGAGTGTGCGTCTGTTAGTATGTGTGTCTGTTAGTGTGTGTCTGTTAGTGAGTTAGTGAGTGAGGGCAGCACAAAACCAGGATACACCACTGCTCCAAAGTTGAGAGAGCCTCTTCTGTGAAGTCTTCCATGGATATGGAGAGAGCCTCTTCCGAAAAACCCTTCATGGAACTGGGCAGTGAAAGGGGTAAATTCCTTGGTAAGCTCCCAGCCTAGGTAGGCGTCTCCTTTGAGGAGTGTGACAGGAGCTAGCCAAATAGCCCGGCATGGGTTCCGAGGGTGTTGATTTCCATCCAGCAGATAAGAAGGAAGGAAGTGTGGCATCACTGGTTGCCATGAGTCTCCTGAACAGCCAGTCATATTTAGCTAGCATATCCTCCAATTGTGGGCTGATACAGTGCCACATGGCCGTCTTGTAGATTAGGGCTTTGTGCCTTGGTGTGCTGGGACAGTCCAAAATTGAAAGGAGTAGTAGCCTCCTCATTTGGGATTATGATAATCCCCACCAGTCCAAAGTGGTAGAAGTCTTTCAGGGAAGCTTCACAGCTATATAGGTCAAGAACATGGAAAGGGATGGGCAGTTTCCCTCATCAAGGAATCAGTAGGTTCATCAGTAACAGCTATGGGGAAATCAACCCCTTAAGTCTTCTCTGGATGTCAGATAGTTAGAGGCGATCTCTCTGCATGTAAGATTAATATTGAAAAATAAGGGCGAATTCCAATAGAACTGGGAATAATTTCTGAGGAACCCATGTGTCTAGCATGGCCATCAGGCTCTGCACCTGGAAGTACAATTTTAAAGACAGTCTCTTACCAGGATTTTTAGTATGTTGACTTACCATCTATACTCAATGTGTTTGTGAAGTCTGAAAAATAAAATTAAATATAAAAATGCACACATCCTTTTCAGTAATTGTTAAAAACTCTGCCCTTTTTGCCATCAAACACTGTGGAGGTTATTTATCAAAGTGTTCTCTTCTAAAAAGTGATTTAAAGTACTAAAAGTGGGCAATCTCCATGGAAACCAGTGGGACCAGTAGGCTTATTGCATTGGTGACTCCTCCCTGTTTACATTTTTTTGTTTGACTACAACCCTGATAAATTACCCTCAGTATGTGGAGGAGTTGAAATAGAAGCACTGGGGGGATTTATCAAAGTGTTCTGCTCTAAAAGGGGAGGAGTCACCAATTCAATTAAATGGGTCTGCGGGTTCCACTGGTTTCCATGGAAACTGCCCCACTTTTCGAACACGTTTGATAACAAAACGCATTGATAAAACTCCCCAGTGAATCTGAGCCAGTTGTGGTGTACAAGGCTCAATGAGTATATTGCACCGAATCATAAAAAAGAAGCAATTAACAGGGATAAGCAGATGAGTAATATTGGTTCCTATAGAAACGCAAACTCAGTGACAGCTGAAAACTACTAGCTAGAAATCATGGGAAATTAACATTTTAGTAAGGAAACATTTTGGCTTCAAATTAATGTAAATCCCTCCAAATGGCTAAGGTGTCTTGCTCACTGCAGCCTCTAATCTCACACCACACACATAACACCACGACGAGCAGGCTCCCCTGCTCAACATCATAAACAGCGTCTCCACAGACATGCAACACCACAAGCAACAATCCTACAAACATGCAATGCTTTAAGCAATTTCAACACACACAACACCCAGGAAACCTACCCCAACATACATAACACCACAAGTAGATTTCTGCCACACAGCCTCCACACACACACTACAACAGACTGCATCATAGGGGCGTCATAAGCCAGCCCAGGACTAAAGTAGCAGGCAGACTAATATCAATTCAGTGCAAAATGGGAATCAGGCAGTGTTGGAAAAAAAAGGAGAGTTTTCATTTATTTTTTTTGCATTTGGGGGACAGACCACCACAGAAAAGGTTACTTCAACCAAAACCAGTGTTTTGTGAAAAAACAGCTTTTTGCAAAATGGGCACCAGACAGCCAATGGTGGCACAGGCCCCTTCTATGTCACAGCTGTCTTCCCGTCAGTCTGACCTCCCTCTGGCTTCAGCGTTGGAAAAAAGGAGAGTTTTCATTTATTTTTTTCGCATTTGGGGGATGGACTACCACAGTAAGGGTTACTTCAAGCAAAACCAGTGTTTTGTGAAATCAGAAATCAGAACACGATCAGAATCCTGAAACTATTCTTAAACAGAATGAAGACTCATAGGGCGGTCTACTAAAGTGCTATCAGAAATTCAGAATTAATGTAAAAGTTTATGTGAAAAAAGCTGACCGAGAATTTAATTCCAGTTTGGCTAGTCTGAACTCAAATTTGAACTTCAGTTTCATTTGTCAACAATTTACACTTTTGTGAATAACGATGTGCATGTTTATATAAGAAAACAGCCAACATGAATTGTATCTTTACCAAAAGGTAGAAACTCATGTTTTTAATTGACATAGTCCACTGACAACCGTCTTGTTAAACCACAACTCAATGGTTATAATAAGCAAGAGTTGGCCAAAGATGTCATTGATTGTATTGTCAGTTCATTTAGGCGAGCTTGTGATGTGACTCCCAGAAGGGATAGCTGGGTATCAGAAAACATTCCTGTAGCCATTTAAGCATTCAAATATTAATTGAGACCAAGCATTTTAATTAAAGCGGTACTGTCATTTACTCTGAGGTACGTGAACACAATGAATCTTTAAAGCTAATTATCAATAAAGACATTCCCCATCTTGGATGATCATAGCATTTTCATAAATAGGCATGCTATGGGAACAGGAAACGCATTTCACAAATTCAGTTTTTTAAGCTACCTCAACTGTTTAGTTAAAGGAATATTCCATTAAAATAATAATACAAAATATCAAATTAGTAGCTAAACCCCAAAGAAAGTATGCTTAGAATTTATTTTGCCTGTTTTTTTGTTGTTTTTATTTTTTGTGGGGGGTAAAAGGGTATATGAAATGAAATCTTGGCATGCAAAACCTGCAGATCCAGTATCTGCAGCTACTGCAATACCTCTATTTTTCCCCAGCATAGACTTTCTACCTAAACTAACAGGAAGTAACGTATAAATATCACATATTATCATTTTCATTATTATTGCTCTTTTAAATTTTTTTTTACAAAACACAAAAAAAAATTTAATATAAATTAAACTGTAAAAATTGTATAATGCAAAAAAAAAGTGGATAATTTCTAATTATTTAATAAATTCATGTTTACAAGCTTGTTTTCAAAACATGGTTTTAATCAATAATTTCAGCCACTTGGGGACTCTTCCTGCATGCTTACTGCACAGGTGTCTGAGCTACACTGTGTGACATGTGCGCGGCACCACCCTGCAGTACCGCACAGCTGCCACAGGTGGCGACAAAGCACCTCGGTTTCCTGGTAATGCAACGTAACAGTAACCAGCCGATAGAGGGAGGGGGTGATGTTCTAAACACCCGAGACACAATACAGCTTCATTTCCGTGTGTACATTACAGGAACCTTAAGAGTGCCGAACAAAATCCTAAAGATCTATGCATGTAGAGATCGAAGTGAATCACTTGGCGTGCGCAGACCCGCGATTTTTAATTCAGGTTGTTTTTTTTTAAAGTGTGAGTGTTAAGTCTCTGGTGATTAAGACTCTCTGGAGGTCACAGCTTGGTGCCCGCCCACATTGGGCGGTGCCTTTTCCGGTGGTTGCTTAGTAACAGAGGGACGCAGAGTTTGTTGTCAGTTGAGGCTGAGCAGGCAGGATGGTGAGTAGCTACACAATGGCCTCCTATGGGACAGGCCAGGGATATGATAGAAATTATATGTTTCTGGGTAATATATCATGTTCCCCTGTGGGTGCTGCTGTCTGGGGATCACATGGGGACCAACAAGGGCAGGTTTGGGGAATTTCATGTTTAATTTTAGGGACATTCAGAATGCAGGACCAATATGCTCTCTTTATCCTCCCTCCCCTATTAGAAAATCCATTCCTGTAATTTTAGGTTATTTATATTTATATATAATTGCTGATCATGTTTTTGTTATTTTATTATTATTTTTTTTAATATAATTTGCTGATCAATATTTATTTAATACTGGCATTTATAAAGCGCCAACCTATTCCACAGCGTTGTACAATTTAGATAAAATGCAGTACAATATAAACAGACCAATACAAATGGTAGAGAGCCCTCTCCCCCAACTCCCCTCGTTATGACTAGATGGAAGTGTGTAATCTCTGCCTTAGTCGTACTTCTGTGGGTAGCCAAAGACCCTTACTTAGTGTTAAACTGCTCGAAAATGGTTTGACCATGTGACCATGCATGGCGACTCCAGTTGCTATAACCAGTTCAACAAGATGAAATGGTTTTAGTACCCTACTGTGTCCCTTTAAGTAAAGAAAATAGCTGGTAATTTATAAGAATAGTTTGGATTCAGATGAATGTTCTTTTATTATTTTGTAAGCCATAAATGTTAACCTTTTGAATAAACATGGGTGCACACCTTACTGGAAGGTGGTAAACACACTTATGATTCCAATACAGCCAGTGAATGTCCCCATGATTCAGTGCTCTGTCTCCTATAAATCAAGCTATTAGCGTGTATAATATATTATTATTCACATATTGCACTGTGATTCAATCTTGTATATCATATAATGGTGCGTAATTACCACGTTAACACCTTGCTTGCCCGCCTTGCATATTGTTATTTTTTTACTATTAATATAGGTGTATGATATATTTATTTTTTAAACCGGATTAGTCATGGAACAATTCATAGGTATCTGCAACTCCTTAATACAAAATGATTTATACATTATGGGGTGTGTTCATTAAACACCAAAACGTAATAAAACGAAACTTGTGGGGGGAAAAGTTTTGAAGTTGGAGAATTTTTACAAATAGACACTTTTTGTGTGTGTTTCAGTTTGGTTTTAAATTTGCTACTCTTTGCTGAACCTTCATTTTATTTTAACGACATCTATAGTTTACTTCTCAACCAGGCTTGGGGGAGTGCTAGAATTTGTACCTCCCAATTAGAGCTAATTGATGCACCTAGACTGGCTGTTTGTGGTTGCTATGGAAACAGACATATTCCCTGTGTGGTGTGTTATAATAAGCTGTGATGCTTCCTTTCTTGTAGATTGTTTGAAATTTGATATCCTATTTATGGAACAGGGTGCTAAGGGATCTGAAGCTATACGATGAATCAACATCAGCTGTGCTACTGCTACTCAGTCCTAGACATCCCATACCTTCAATGTTGTCTTCAGGGAATTTTTTATGACTCTTAGCCAGCTTCCACTTCATCCTGATTTTATTATATCACATTGTTTTAATTGGATCCAATCCACCAAACTAAAAATAAAATAGTAATCTAAATCTAGGAATACAGTGTAACTGTTTATGCGGGGTTAGCAATTTACACTAGTATTTTCAAGTTTTACTTTCAAGTATCAGATCTCCACAGGATGGCTGTCTGTTTTCGCCAGGTTTATTTAGTAATCCGATATACACAGCCTGTAAGAAGGTTGTGGATCCTAGAGAAATAGTGGTGACTTATTGCCTGCGTTTCTGTACACATGTATACAATCTGTTGTTTGTTTGTACATTCTGCCTAGTGCATATGTGATTATAAACTAATCTGACTGGGTGTTACTGTCTTTCAGGCTGAAGTTGAAGAAACCTTGAAGAGGATTCAGTCTCACAAAGGTGTGATTGGAACCATTGTGGTTAATTCAGAAGGTAATGTGGATTTTATGTATTTGCTTATTGTTACCATTTTTCCAAATACACATATTTTGATAGTGTGCCGCAGAATGAATAATATATAATAGAATGAACTATGTATTGTTCTTTCACTCTATCCTGAAAACAGTACATACCTCCCAAGTTAGGAAGACAGTCCCTATTTTGTCCCCAAATCTCTCTGTCCAGCTTTACTATCCTAATGTCCCTTTTTCTAGGGGCTCCATAGCGTTTGTGTTTCTGAGTGTATAACAGAGCTCTTCAGCAATAAAATACATAGGAATGCGTCTTTAAACTATAATAAATGTGTTTGTAAATCTCTGTGTAAATAAGATACATTGGTCTTGTTCTAGATTACATTTTAGTTGCATAAGTTATTAGTAAGTGCCTAAAATGTTTAGAACTTCCCTGCTACTGGCCACACACAAACCTTTAAAATGAAAGTGTCCCTCTTCCTTTTTTTTTCCATTTGAACTGTTGGAAGAGGTGTAGTACTGAGGATTTATACTGTTGTATGGAACACAGTGGCAAGAACATGTTAAACATTTTCTTATTTCTCTCAAGATACACAAAGGGGTTTAAAATACAGAGTTTATTATATTTTGAATTCTAGGTACATTTGCAGTATTAAATGCGGTTATCACATGGTGCGGATGTTTACATGGATCTTTCCTACACATATGATGGTATTGCAAAATGGTATTACCTTTATGGTCATAGGCCTATGAATTATTCAAATCCATATCTAACTTAAATTTAAAAAGAGAACCTGATGTGACCCTACTACATTCAAACTGGGCTGTACCTTCCACTTCGTTAAATGTCTTGCTATACATTTGTTTTTTAGCTACTAAAATCATAATAGCTAGACAATGGAAATCAAATCTTCCTTTCCAAAAGAAGTATTAAATAGACCAATTCACATATCAACTTCGTATGGAAAGGGATTTACATGGTTCTTCCTTATGCTCTCTATATAAGCAATAATATAATATATTAAATGGCTGAAAACACTAGTAGCAACCAACTAAAACATTAACTAGGACTGATCTTTGATATTAGATGTGACAATATTTTTATTCTTGAACTGACCATGACCTAGATTTGTAAATTTGCACTGAGATGTCTGTATATTTGTTGTTTGTTTCTTGGGGGGAAAAGAAAAGCAAAACGATACAAAGCGATATTTTGTTTTAATTATCCTTTTCCAATTGTGTTGTGATATTGTTGTTAATGTAATATATATATATATATATAATTTTTTTTTTTTTTTTGTATATATGTTGTACATGTTTTTTAAAAAAATTCAAATAAATGTGGTTATCATAAGCTGCATACCATCCAGATAACCACTATGAAGTTCTCCTAAGATTTTAAGAATTATGGCAAATGGGATCTGCATTTAAAGGCCTAACCACAAAAATAGAAGTTTATTATTAAAAGTAACATAGTACAAAGTATTATAAAATGTTTATCTACACAACATATTGGCAGTCCCAAAATCTCAGTATTGGTAAACTTGGTTGCTTATAAAATGTTCTTGGTTGCTTATAAAAATTATTCTTGTGGCAACAAGGACAAGTTGTTATCTTCATTGTGATGTTTTCTCATGTTTTTTATTTTTTATTCTCAGATTTCTAACCGCTTTCTTACCCTTTCTTAGGAATTCCAATTAGGACAACTCTGGATAATTCCACCACAGTGCAATATGCTGGTCTCCTCCACCAACTGTCTATGAAAGCCAGAAGTACAGTACGAGATATTGACCCACAAAATGATCTCACCTTTCTCCGAATACGATCAAAAAAACATGAGATCATGGTTGCTCCAGGTATTAGAAGAACTGGCAAATCTGGTTTGAGAGGTTTTTTTTTTCTGTAGCACAATTAGACTTTGCTCTCACACTATAGAACGTTCTAGACATTCCATCCCCAATGTTAGATAGTACAGCTTGTTTGTTTAATAATTAGTATAAGATATGAACTTTACTCGATAGAGGGATCATAAAAATAATTGCCATTCATACTTTGAATTTGTCTGTGTACATCCACTCCAAGAGAACTTTCACCAAGCAGAGGAAAGATCATATTCCTCTGTTATACCAGAGAACAGGAGATGGACATATATAGGACTATTCACAAAATACCAAATTGCAACCATAGCTGGTTTTTAAACTTCTCCATCTCCACTAGAGTCACAGCTTAGATATTTTAACCTACAGTTTGCAGTTCACTTCAGTGTTTAGTGAATAAATGCCATAGTTCGGGAGTATTTCTTTATTTGAGCCTTGATTGAAAGGGAGCTGATGGTAATAATGCTCAGTGTCCCTTTTAAAGAAAACATTTATTATTCTACTATTTCAATAAGACTATGTACAAAGTGAGTGATGATGAATTTGCTTTGTTTATCTTTCTACATCACTTAATTAGCGGTATTTTCACATGAGTCGGTGTAGTGGTTTCCACTGTTTGTAGAAGAAAATAGCTGATCCTGGCAAAAGTTAGTTTTATTGACATAGTATACTACAGTGCAATTATTACAATAGCTAGCAGAATTTAAACTTCTAAGTCGAATGTGAAATTTTGTCTCCATAATTCTGCATCCGTTAACAGAGTAATATGACAAAAATCATACTGTCTAATAAAACAATTTGTTACTGTCAATATTTTTTAGCTTATTCTAGAATGTTCCCTTAATATATTTAAACAGTAATAGTATAAACAGATTCTAAAAAGAGTGAAGTACCAGCGCTAATTTAAAAACAGTATAATATATCAAAATTGTATAAACCGATGTATAATAGGCTGCTATAACACCATAATCTTATCTTATATTGTAGAAATAGAACCATTACTTGGGTAATAGTATAACATTTTATAAAATATATATATATATATATATTTTTTTTTTTTTAATTTTACTTTTTTTTTTTTTTTCCAGATAAAGAATACCTGCTGATTGTTATCCAGAATCCATCAGAATAAGCAGACCCAAAAGATGCAGATCTAATTTTGAAACAATTTCTAGTAAACATGATATTTAAGTTATTTTTTTTTTTTCTTGTAAACACGTGATGTGGGTTGAAGCTTACTTGTAATTTGTATTGCCATGTGAACTATAATAAATGGTATAATATCACAATTATTCTATCCCGTGTCTTCATTGGGGAGGAAAGTGGGCAATCTGATTTTTATAATTTTTATTTGTTTTAATTAAAAAGTACTAAAATCTCCTTTCAACATCGTTTCGATAATTAGACTATTAGGATTTAGAGCTTTCCCTACCTGATGGTGGGTTGTAGTTGAAAGAACATTCTACACCATTTTAGGCAGAGATGGATTATTCACCAAACTTTAAAATGTTGTCAATTGATTGTGCAACTTTGTTCAGTCAAGTGGCAAATCAATTTCTCTCTCTGTTCATAATTCTAATTGGCGGCACGGTGTTCAGATACTGTTAGGAAGTGTGAGAATAAGCGTCATTTCAGTTTTACCAAGAATCCCTCTAGAAAAATGATGGCTTGAATTCTACAATATTAGTTGATAAGAATACCTGATTAATTGAAAGCTGCACAATCTCTTGACTAACCTGAATGATATTCCTAGTTTGAGCAACGATGGTTCAATTAGTGTCTTTCCACTTGTTTTAAACTAATTTGTCCCATTAAGAATGATAAATAAGAAAATAGTGTGTGGCTAGGAGCATGGATGAGTGTCAGGAGTAGGTTAGTAATGGTTTTCATGAACTGCTCACAGCCTGTGTAAATGTCAGTGGTGTGTCATGGACATAGCAAAATACCGTGCAGAGCCTTGTGGGAGAATATGAACAGCTGAACACACAATGTAATGGCTGATCTGCAAAAAAACAGATGAAGTTTGGCATCACAGGTGGTACAAAAAGTTGCTTTTAATCTTTTAAGCAAAGGCAAATTCAAGTGTTTCCACCTATGAACTCATAGGAGTTTTAACACAATTTGGGTTCTGTGGAGAGTAGACATGTGCACCAGTGAAATGTTTGTTTTGTACAAATGATTTCGTACTAAATAAAAATGTCATTAGTCAATCCCGAATTTCGTCCACAAACCATTCGTTTTCTAACTAAATTCGTTAAATTTTTTAAATTAGTTTTCGTCCATTTGAACGAAAAAAAAGCAATGCACATGCGCAAATAAATAACAAGGAGGGAGCCGGCAGTGCTACCAGCTCCCTCCTTGTAATATATAACTATTCCTACTAGCCCCCCCGCAATAAAACCTATGACCCCCATATTAATAAAAGGGAGGTTAAATCCTTGGGCATGTTGCCTAAACAGCGATCAGTCATTTCAAACTAAATATAAAGTAGTATGGGGGTCACTCTGACCCCCATATTGATAAAAGGGAAGTAAAATCCTCCTGCATGCCCCTACTCGTGGCATGACCTGAGTAGGGGCATGTCGCCTAAACACATTTAAAAGTACTAGTGACTGGGCAGTTATTGCTCACTGGGCAGTCCAATTGCTGCCCAGTCACCAGTGCAATAAGGGGGGACCTGGCACAGGTTAAATCCTGCTGCATGCCCCTACCTGTGCCAGCTACCCTGTGTATTAGGGGCATGTCGCCTAAACCAGTGGCTGCTCGCTGTCATTTAAAACTGGATATAAAAATCTGTATTTTATATAGAAGTGACAGAGAGATACGGTAAGAGTACATGTAACCAATAGTTATAGTAAAAACTATAAATGTTGCAATATGAAAAAGTAGCTATTTAGATCCCTAATTAAAGGGGGGACCTAATATTTCCCCTGGTCCCCACCCATGAGTGGCAGGTGGGTACTAAAAATAAAAAATGGGGGGGACCTAATGTCCCCACCCATGAGCGGCAGGTGGGGACCCTAAATAAATAATGGGGAGAACCTACTGTCCCCCCCCACAAATAATAAAGTGACTAGGGGTCCCCAAGCCCCTAGTCATTCCCCCCCTATAAAAATACTTGTGCAATAGCTGCCCAATCACTAGTACTTTTAAATTTGTTTAGGTGACATGCCCTTTCTCACGGAATACCGGGAGTAGGGGCATGTGGGAGGATTTAACCTCATTGTGGCCCCCATAGGTTTTAATGCAGGAGGGGTAGGAATAGTTATTTACATGGAGATGGCTGATAGCGCTGCCGGCTTCCTCCTTGTTTTTTTTTGTTTGTTTTTTTGGCGCATGTGCACTATTATTTTTCCGTGCTGTGGAGGTTAATTCCCCTGCAGCACGGAGTCTATTAAACGAACAAAACGAGAAGGTAATGCATTCAGCATTTGCCCTTTCGTTTAGTTTAGATTTCGTTTGTAGGGCTTTCGTTTAAGTTTTAGTAAACGAATAAGAAAAAAACCAGAATTTTCGGACAAAATTGTATTCGTACAAAAACGAATGCCCATGTCTAGTGGAGAGTCTCGGTCTGTCAGTTTTTTGTTTTTTTTTCTTTTTTCTTTCTATATGTCAAACTATATTCAGCAGACACCACATAGAAATCTTTGGTCACCTGAGAATGAATTGCCAACACTGTCAATATTCACATGTTTCATTTTCTTAATTTCAAAACCCCTCAGTTTATTTGCACTCCTTTGCAAATATTACTTGCTGTTGATTGTTTCTTAGTAGTTGCATCATTGCATATGCTGTGTTCTCTTCAATTGTGGATTTAAAATGTATTTAACCCCTTAATGACCAAACTTCTGGAATAAAAGGGAATCATGACATGTCACACGTCATGTGTCCTTAAGGGGTTAAAAATACACACTAACCTCCAACATATCTCCTTCCTTTCATTTTAATTCTAAAGAAGTAATTTCAATGCATATTTTGTGTATCACACCTAACTGCAATCTATTACCCTATGCAATATGTGTAAGTGGGAAATGCTCCCCCCAAAAGGTTAGCACTGCCATTGTCTGTGTTACCAGCACGTATTGCTCCCACCAATGAAGATTGCTTTGAGAGCTGTCTGAAACCACATACCTGCTGCCCCTTGCTCTAGTACCACTATTTGTCATGGCCAAACCCCCTCAATGGCGATATTCACCTGTTCCAAGGAGGGAGACTGCGTCTGTATTGTCATTACCTGTTGGCTCTTGGACCCCTCAGCATCTTCTTTCATGTCCCTATGTAGGTGGGTGTTGGCAGTGGCCTTCTTTGGTGCGGCCAGTACATGAGCATCCTATAAAACCCCACCATTCAATTAGGGACAGCATGGGACAGATGTGATGAAACTTCACTGAGGAGACGTGCCGTCCTAATTTGCATCTCACTTGAGCACAGAAATACTGCTCAGAAGTACCTGTGCTCTTTAACATTCCAGGTACTATACGAGTTCATTTAACTGGGGACTCCTAGTATGCCAAACCCTGACAGTGACCACTAATACAATCCTGTGTTGCCTGGAACAACCTCTTTTGTTTGTAAATTTATTTTTATTACTTTTTATGAAAAATGTTACAGTTGTACTTTCAAAACTGAACAACATATCATGTAACGAGACACACAGGTCTCCATCAAAGAGCATTAGAAATGTGCAATGTTACATCCTGTACTGAAACTAGTATGGTTTCAAAAAGAAAACTCAACATGGGATGCATAAATCCCGTATTTAAAGGAGTTTTTCACAAAGCCTAAAAATGACAGGCCTAACATAGCGTCAAGTGGCACACTTAACTGAACGATAAAATAACGCATATGCTCAATAGGTCACCGCATTAATTGGCAACTAAATAGTATAATGATAGGCTGATGTAAGGTCCAAATAGTTACTGAACCTCAAAGCGACCAACAGCATTATTCATGGAGGCAAAACCTCTGTCAACTAAGATAAGTGTCCTGGATGGGTTGTTCCCCACCTCCACCCCCTGCACAAGAGAGGGAGAAAGGGAGGTAAAAATAGAGGGGGGATGGGGAGAAAAAAAACAGGGAGTGGAGTCCCGTCCCAACCATCCACACCCCGAGTGTTTGTTGCCCATCAACCAGGCCAAACATTCCCGATTGGGGCCTATCCTTTTTTATCTCCAAATTGACATCCTAGGCTCTAACGTATAAGTTCCTGGAAGTCAGCAGATTGTGTGGGTCCAGATCTGCAACATGCCACTGAATTAGAAAGGAGGGGTAAGGAGGGGGGGGGGGTCTCTTTTGTTCTAGAAATCAGACTTTTAACTACATACAGGATCCTTATTGTTAAGTATTTATATATATAAATTGTGAGTTTAGTATGAGGTTACAGGAGAGGAGCCGGACGGAAGAGCGGCTTGGTCATACGAGAATCTCTTAATCATAGCATGAAGTTGTTTCCAAAATGTACGAATTGTGGTGCAGCTTACCATCCACACCTCCAGCACCCCTCATCAATAGTCGGCATTATTGCATGCAGTACTTGGGGAGGTTCCTATACCAGAAGATCAAAAATGTATACGCAGATTCCTGAATCTTGCTAGAGGGTGCACAGTGTTGCATCAGATCACAGATTTTTTACCAGTGTGAGGGAGTAAAAGTTTCCCTCTAGGCCAGGGTTGTCCAAACTTTTTTTTTAAAGAGAGCCAGATTTGATGAGGTGAACATGCGTGAGGGCCAATCATTTTGCCTGACATTCTTTGACCCATTAAAATTGAATGCAAATTAACTATTTTATGCAAAGTGTATTGCAAACGGTATACTTTTCATTTCATCTCTTTATTCTGTCTCTTCTCTCTTTACTCTGTCCTTTTTTATTGTCTCTCTTTAATATGTCCCTCTTTAATATGTCCCTCTTTAGTCTGTCTCTTTTTATTCTGTCCCTCTTTATTGTCCCTTTTATTCTGTCCCTCTTTATTCTGTACCTTTTTATCATGTCCCTCTTTATTATGTCTCTTTTTATTTTGTCCCTCTTTATCTGTCTCTCTCTTCATCTGTCTCTCTTTATTCTGTCACTTTTTATTCTGTCACTTTTTATTCTGTCTCTCTTTATTCTGTCTCTCTTTATTCTGTCCCTTTTTATTCTGTCCCTTTTTATTCTGTTCCTTTTTATTCTGTCCCTTTTTATTCTGTCCATTCTCTCTTTCTGTCTCAGCAGGGAGAAGGAACCAAATCCCGCGATCGCACACACCAAATCCTGCGAATCCTGTGACGTCCAAGAGATTGTGAGAATGCAGACTGAGGTCACTGCACGTCCGTCTGCATTCTCGCGATCTCTTGGCCCCCAGTGAATCCCTGAGCACCGCCAAAATGAATTGTGGGGCCGTAATAAACGGGAACGCGGGCTGGACTTTTGACATGACTGCTTTAGGCAATTTAGCACTTTCCCATGAAACTAGGTGGAGGTAGCATTCTCTGTGATAGGAGCATTGTATATAGGAGAGAAATGCTATACTCAAGAGAATCCTCATGTGTGCATGTAGTTTCCAGGAAGGTGAGCTCTCTTGTCATGAGAGGTCTCTGGGTGGTGGAGTAGAGGAAGTCCACTAACTGTTTATAGCGGAACTGTTGCATAAAGTTTGCCTATTTCTTAATGCCTCCAGGGATTTAACCTTTCCTTCAGAAAGCAAATGTCTTATTTGGTGGGAAGTCTTTCCTAACAGTCTCTGAAAAGTAATTGTCTCTAGGCCTGGAGGGAAAGCCAGATTGTGAGTTACTGACGAAGGAGGGTGAGGAAAGCAATAAGTTCCAGCTTAGGTTCTTGTGGGTGCTAAATAGATAGTGTGGCTTTAATAAAAGGATGGGGGCTGCCAATCTGGCTCTGATAATGTGGTCTAACCAAGGCATTGTTATCGGTCTCCCTATCTGTGTTCCCTCAACTTCCCGTTTATACCATTCCACCACACTCTGCAAGTGTGTTGCCTGATAGTAAATTTTGAAGTCCAGCAGCACCAGACCCGCCCCCAGACTTTGTTAGTGTGAGGACATTGTGGCCAATAGCAGGGGAAAATTAGCCTGATAAAGTTAGGCAGGAGCTCATGGGATCCAAACAAGCAAGATTTCAAGGACGTCTCCATCCACTGGAAGGACTACTGCTCTTTGAGGTGTCTAGCCTGTGATTTTGGTAGGGAGATATTTAGAATGGTAGATTTTATATAATTTGTTTTTAAATTTGACATACATGTCATATTCTATCATGATACATGGCAAGGAGTGAGTCGGGTCTGTCACAAAAAATTGGAGGTAGTCTGCAAAAGCAGCAAATGGAGTGTTCCGTCCTCCCACTCTCAGTTCTTTAATATTGAGGTTGTTCCTGATAGCATTAAGAAAGTTTTGAGAGCAAGGACAACGAGCAAGGGCAACAATGGAATCCCTGCCTAGTGCCATTTAGAATAGGGAATGGCCCTTTAAGTGCCCCATTAACACAGAATCGAGCTGTCAGGGTCGAGCATAAAATCTGGACCAACCTCTTTTCTTGGAACCCTAACTATGTATTTTGCCTCATTCCATTAATAATACATGTAAACCTCCATTTTGCCACTATCTGTTTGTCCTGTCTCCTTTCAGGCCTTCCATTTAGCGGTGTCCCATAGGGTGTGCTAGACCCTGCACATCGAGCTTCCATCACCAATCACTGACACCATTTCCAGAGTGTCAGTCTATGCTACATTACTATAACAGCTATCCTCTGGTCCTCTTTGCTCCCTCTGACCAAGTAGAGCAAGCCTCTCTAATAAGACTGACATGCTGGTATTACTTCCAGCACACAGCAGTGGAGGCTCATCGATAGGGGCAGCTGGGGCATCGCCTACCATTCTTTGTTGCAGTAAAATGCATTAACTACCTGTATTTCATATTTTTTTCTATTAGGGGTTTTAATGTTTTTTTGTGTATACTTACATCTTTAAGTTGTGTCTGTTTGAGCAACTGTGTTGTTTATACAATTTTAATTGTAATACTACAGTTTCCCTCAAATGCCCCTCTAGGAAGATACAAAAAGGTGTTTTCCCAAAACTCATATTAATCCTATGAGAAGAATGAAATGCTATTAGAAGTTGAGTGAATCACCCTCAATGGCTGTTTGACAGCCACCTGTTATTCTCAATGTATCATCTTTGGGTAGCAATTATGCTGGCCTAATAGACAGGACTGCCTGCTGAGCTGCCATAGGCTCATACAGGGAGTGCAGAATTATTAGGCAAATGAGTATTTTGACCACATCATCCTCTTTATGCATGTTGTCTTACTCCAAGCTGTATAGGCTCGAAAGCCTACTACCAATTAAGCATATTAGGTGATGTGCATCTCTGTAATGAGAAGGGGTGTGGTCTAATGACATCAACACCTTATATCAGGTGTGCATAATTATTAGGCAACTTCCTTTCCTTTGGCAAAATGGGTCAAAAGAAGGACTTGACAGGCTCAGAAAAGTCAAAAATAATGAGATATCTTGCAGAGGGATGCAGCACTCTTAAAATTGCAAAGCTTCTGAAGCGTGATCATCGAACAATCAAGCGTTTCATTCAAAATAGTCAACAGGGTCGCAAGAAGCGTGTGGAAAAACCAAGGCGCAAAATAACTGCCCATGAACTGAGAAAAGTCAAGCGTGCAGCTGCCACGATGCCACTTGCCACCAGTTTGGCCATATTTCAGAGCTGCAACATCACTGGAGTGCCCAAAAGCACAAGGTGTGCAATACTCAGAGACATGGCCAAGGTAAGAAAAGGCTGAAAGACGACCACCACTGAACAAGACACACAAGCTGAAACGTCAAGACTGGGCCAAGAAATATCTCAAGACTGATTTTTCTAAGGTTTTATGGACTGATGAAATGAGAGTGAGTCTTGATGGGCCAGATGGATGGGCCCGTGGCTGGATTGGTAAAGGGCAGAGAGCTCCAGTCCGACTCAGACGCCAGCAAGGTGGAGGTGGAGTACTGGTTTGGGCTGGTATCATCAAAGATGAGCTTGTGGGGCCTTTTCGGGTTGAGGATGGAGTCAAGCTCAACTCCCAGTCCTACTGCCAGTTCCTGGAAGACACCTTCTTCAAGCAGTGGTACAGGAAGAAGTCTGCATCCTTCAAGAAAACATGATTTTCATGCAGGACAATGCTCCATCACACGCGTCCAAGTACTCCACAGCGTGGCTGGCAAGAAAGGGTATAAAAGAAGAAAATCTAATGACATGGCCTCCTTGTTCACCTGATCTGAACCCCATTGAGAACCTGTGGTCCATCATCAAATGTGAGATTTACAAGGAGGGAAAACAGTACACCTCTCTGAACAGTGTCTGGGAGGCTGTGGTTGCTGCTGCACGCAATGTTGATGGTGAACAGATCAAAACACTGACAGAATCCATGGATGGCAGGCTTTTGAGTGTCCTTGCAAAGAAAGGTGGCTATATTGGTCACTGATTTGTTTTGTTTTGTTTTTGAATGTCAGAAATGTATATTTGTGAATGTTGAGATGTTATATTGGTTTCACTGGTAATAATAAATAATTGAAATGGGTATATATTTGTTTTTTGTTAAGTTGCCTAATAATTATGCACAGTAATAGTCACCTGCACACACAGATATCCCCCTAACATAGCTATAACTAAAAACAAACTAAAAACTACTTCCAAAAATATTCAGCTTTGATATTAATGAGTTTTTTGGGTTCATTGAGAACATGGTTGTTGTTCAACAATAAAATTAATCCTCAAAAATACAACTTGCCTAATAATTCTGCACTCCCTGTATGTGTGCCTGTCTGTTTGTATGTATGTGTGTGTGTGTGTGTGTGTGTGTGTGCCTGTCTGTATGTATGTATGTATGTGTGCGTGTGTATGTGTGTGTGTGTGTGTCTGTATGGATGTATGTGTGCCTGTCTGTTATAGTGGGCTATAGTAAGTAACAGTAAGTGGGCTACATAGCTACCTACTGGGAATTGCTATAAGAAAGGTTAAAAAATAGAAGAAAGGAAGAAAAAAAAAGGTGGGAGGGGAATTGAGGAGGGAGAGGAAGGGAGCTAGCGCACAGATGAGAAATCATATTATGAGCAAACAGAGAAGTCGTCTGGGTATCACCGAAAGAGGAGACCTTCGTTTGTTCCTTATGAAAATCAAACCAGATATCAAATAATCTCGCAGCATCAACCTCAAGGATCTCATTAATCACTAGTTAAGGTAATTTCAATTTACTTTATTGTTTTCTCATTAAACTTTATAAAGTTAAAAACATTATAAACATGCATAAAGTAGAAATAAAAAGATAAATGTACGTACATTTCTTTTTTTTAAAACGCCCTCCTTTCTAAAAAATATTCCGCACTTGCGTGAAAACTGGTGGGCGGTAAGGAAATTTTTCCATCAAGAAAGATGCATTAGTGGGCGGTAGCTGAAATATAATACTCAAATATATTGATAACTTGTGTACACTTTGACAGTTACATTTTGTTAGTTTCCTGCTCACTTGTAGGCATGCAAAGCAGCCTTTAAAACTGTTACATATTTTCACATTTTAAACATAGCTTGTTGATACCATTGTATACTTGCTTTGTTTATCTCTGTCTTTGTTTGCATGGGTCCATGGGGAAGTGTTCAAACCAGCTGTATCACAAAGAAATCAGCATTGTGTTGATTTTCTGGAAATAGTTGGTATGCAAATATTATCATAACCTACAAGAGAGCGCTCCAAATATTTGATTATTGTTAATTTATTTAACAACATGCATATTTAACATGCACCATAGCACCACAGATAATGGGATAATGTTAAATATGACGTTCATATTTAATATACATCCATATTTATATATCTATTTAAACAGTTATATAAAGTTTAATAAAACAAAAACTATGCTACATTGCAAATACCAAATTTAAAGGGGCCTTAAAGGGACACTATAGTCACCAGAACCACTACAGCTAAATATAGTGGTCCTGAATATGCATCGGCATGACAAATAATTACACACAAACAAAATGTATAAGTAATACAATGAGCCCATGTGTCCTGTCTGGGTCAAGCACAACCAAATGAAGTTCTAAACATAAAATGTTAATCGTTTAAGAGAGTAATAATTCCTTAAATCTCTCTTAAGTCCTTCATAGACTCTTTCTGTTTTAGCCATTCTTCTGTGTCCCTGCTATTTCTTTGCATGGAAATATTCATCCATTCTAGTCTGTATTCCATTTTTAGTTGTAAAAAAAATTGATTCCTTAAGAGTAGCCAGTTAAATGCATCCCTTCCCATCCAGTTTCTTTCAATCACTACTTTTGTAGCAACAAAAAAAACTGTTTAATAAGTAATGCAACAGTCTTAGTTACAGGGGGCCAGTTAACGTTAAGTAGAGCTAGTTTTGTCCCTCCCATCTGTTCCAGACCTTTAAATGTCATATCTCATAATTTTTTAAACCCTGCTGTATTCCACCAAATAACATCTGGGAGTCTACCTTTTTTGGCACCCCTGTTCTAGAGAGTGCCAAGTACCAGCGGTTAATAATTTAAACTGGATTTCCTCAATAAAGAACAATGCAATAATGTAAGAAGTGGGGGAAAAAATAAAATAAATGTTTTGGTTCTGGGCCAAAGAGACCACTGTAAATGCTGCCATTTCTAAGAAACGTCAGTGTTTACAGTATATAGGCTGATCTTAGTCCAATGACCCCTATTTAAGATTGGCTTATGAAACATGTAGTTTAGTCTATAGGGTCACTGGAACTGCTGAATGGGCTGAATGACTGTTTTTTAAACTTTAGGACAAAAACATTCAGAAAGCACTCCCTGTTATTTTGATGTAAATGTCTCAAAGCATTGTCAACTAATTAAAATTATCAGTTGTTTGAAGGGATCCATTATAATCTGCACTTTATTTTAATTCTTTGGAGAAACTTATTAGTATGTTACATAGCCAGCTGTAGTACACAATTGCTAATTTAAATTGAAATTGCATGTTGAAATTTCTAACGACTTACGGATTTTTTTTTTTTCAAACAAACAATAATTAAGGTGCAACATAAAAACTAATGGAGTGCAATGCAATAAACTTAAAAGTGCATTGCATTCCTGCTTCTCTTTTACTTTGAATTATTTTTTAAATAACGTTCAATAAGACATATTCTGATGACTGCCGGTGTTTCATCTCACATTAAGGAAACTCTTTGGGACTTAACTTGTTTCCAGGAATCTGTCGTTCCTGTGCCTAATAGTGTGGATTGGCACTTATCCACTCCTTTATATATATATATATAAATAAAGAATAACAGTTACTCCGCTCACTCCAGTTGTAGACTACTGGTGGAGGCAAGAACACTTCACACAATTTCCTCAGAAATTGTAGCTTTTCTAGTTACTAAAAGTTATTTCACAAAGTATACATCGCTCCCTTACTACTTTACACATTTTATTAATTGAGTTGCAGTGATGACAGTTAAGGGACAATATTTTAGCATTGTTGATTCTTAATTATCATTTAATGCTGTTGAGATCTGCATATCAGAATTATCTGCAAATGCATTAAAGACGCACTCCACTCCAAAAATTGAAATCACTATTTAGTATAAATGCCCCAAATTAAAACATGCATGTATTTTTCTTACATGTTGTCATTGGTATATATTTAAAACGAGCTTCCATAAGCTGCAGTTCTTATGATTGTAGCCTTTGCAAGCCCTCCCCTTCGTCTCCAAAAGAAACTTCGAGGAAGGACACTGGTCTGATGTAAGACCTGAGAGGGAGAATGGGTAGGGATGTTAACGTCAACGAACTCTTCCGGTAACGCCTCGCCACGTATCAAGCTAGGCTAACGTCAGCCACACCCCTCCCGCTCAGTGAGATTAGCCTATTTCGGATAGCATCCATGTTGAAGGCAGCTTCAACATGGATGCTGTCCAGGAGGTGGGAGGGTCTGGGAGGGAGGGTCTGCTGGAGATTGGCCGGGATGTGTCAGCTGACCGGAGTTCGCCACGAACCGCGGCGAGCCGTTCGCGGGAAGTTTGCGAACGGTTCGCGACATCACTAAGAATGGGGGAGATGGAAGGGGCACTCAGAGTACACCTGATGTTTCCATTATCACAGGGGTGGTGTTTGGCAGCCAAGGAGATGTTTAATAATAAAAGTGCTGATTTATGATTTTTTTTTAAATTATACTTTTATAAACTGGAATTAGAGTAGGATACTCCTCAGCAAGCTAAAGTGCTTTATGGGTGTTGAGTGGTAATTTTAAGAGGAACTGTCACTTCTTTTGAATTTACACCATTAAAAGACCACTATAGTGCCAGGAAAACAAACTCGTTTTCCTGGCACTATAGTGTTAATAGGTCCCCCCCCCACCCTCATGGCCCCCCTCCCGCCAGGCGCTTCAACGCTTACCTTTCTCCAGCGCCGGGCTCCCTCGGCGCTGGGGACTCTCCTCCCTCTTCTGCCGAATGCGCATCAATCAGTCCATAGGAAAGCATTTCTAAATGCTTTCCTATGGATGCTGGCGTCTTCTCACTGTGAAAATCACAGTGAGAAGCGCAAAAGTGCCTATAGCGGCTGTCAATGAGACAGCCACTAGAGACTGGATTAACCCGAATGTTTACAGCTGCAGGCTTAACCCTAGATGGACCTGGCACCCAGACCACTTAATTGAGCTGAAGTGGTCTGGGTGCCTATAGTGGTCCTTTAAATAAAACTATGAAAATCATAATTAACTTGTGTTATCTTTCTTTCATACTTTTTTTATTTTTTCAATTTGTATGCAAAATTTAAAGAAGCTCCAGTACAATTACATAACTCTTAGTTGTAACAATATTACAACATTAGATCATGAGGGATTTTTTTCTTTCTGAATATTTTTGAGTTGTATAATAATCACTGCAATCACCCTTGCTCATACACTACGAGAACAACTTCCTTTGTCTATTCATATGTATTCGATGATCTTAAAGGGACACTCCAGACCCATGAAGCACTTTGGCTTGCTAAAGTGCATTATGTGTTAAAACTGTGTCCACGGGGGGCGGGGCCTGACAAGCATGGAGGGCAGACGTGTTTCAGCGGAGCTCCTGAAACAGGGACGCTTAATGGCACCCTTAACCAGGCAAACCCTACAACAAACGACAAAGCCTGACTCACCGGACCCACAATCGGGCCGGGCACCGCTGCGGCAGTCTGTAACCCACCTGGAGTCTGTTAACTGCACTCCTCATGGCATGACGCCACATGGTGAAATAACCAAACAAGCAAAAGCCCCGTTACTCCCCCTCCGGACCGTCGGAGGTGATCGCGGTCAAACCCAAAAAAGCAGACCAGGACCGGAGAGAGCGCAAGGCGCAGACCCTTCCATATATTGACATTGTGAGATGACACCCAACATGGCGGACGCCACATGCAAACCCAATCCCACCTTGGATTTTCACAAAAACTAGAAGCACTGCTAGCCGATTTCTGGCGCAAGGTAGAGGGCAGAACACAACAGCCCGCCTCGCAACAGCCAAGCGACCATCTAACTAGGAGGCTGTCTCCAAACCGGAGGAACACCGAGAGGGCCTTACCTGAAAGACAAGCCTCTTCATGGCGGCGGACCACCAAGCACATGGGACGGGCACTACAACAAGTCCCGCTACAGGCAAGCAGCCCCTTACCCGAATGGCACCCTGTATGCACAAAGATCACACCCGCGGCTCCCGCAGGGAAGAGGAGCCTGAGGAGTCTCACCAGAACAAGCAGCGACAAAAGTGAAGCCAGACACGCGGGCAGTGGTGTATCCTGGTTTTGTGCTGCCCTAGGCAGGACAAAATTCAGACGCCCCCTCCCCCCCGTGCCACCCCCACCCAACCTTCTAAATACACACACACATTCACTGACAGATACGCATACACTAGCTAACAGACACACTCACTAACAGACACACTCACACACTAACAAACACACACACACACTAACAGACACACACTCACTAGCACACACTCACTCACTAACAGACACACACACTCATTGACACACACACACAGACACACTAAAAGACACACACACAGCGAACACACACTAACAGACACAAACTCACACACTAACAGACACACACACACACACTAACAGACATATACACACACTCACTCACATTAACATATTTTTTTATTTATATATCCCCCCCCAGCCTCCTTACCTTTGGGAATGCTGGGGGCTGGGGGTTGTCTTTCTCCCTGGGGTCCAGTGGCTGCTGGGTGGGCGGCTGGCGAAGGAGCACTTCCTCTGAGCCGTCATATTCCGGCTCCCAGCCTCACTCTGCGGCGCACGAGGGAGCTGAGCACACAGCTCAGTGGAAGTGCTCCCTCACCAGCCGCGCGCCCGCCCAGCATGTCAGTTAGCCGCATGGCTAACAAGGCATTTGCGCTGGGCATTTGGGGGGTGGCTTTTTTTGCCGCCCCCTGGAAAATGCCACCCAAGGCAAATGCCTTGTTTGCCTTGCGGCTAAAACACCCCTGCACGCGGGAGACTTGCGTCTCCACCCAGCCGGGGGTCTCCGGTAGTCCTGGCAGCCAACGCCCAAGGGACTGTTCGGCTCCACGTGGCAAGACCGGAGTCCGAAAACATGAAGCACCTCGCTAAACCGCCCACCCGCGGGCTCTTCTGCCTTACCACACTACCTCCGTCAGCACAGCGGAGACCCAAGCAACCACTGCAGGGCATCGGCTGACCAGAGGAACAAGCCAGGGACACTGAGACAGGCACAGGATCCACTACTTAGCACCCAAAAATGCATCAGATGAACACACACGGTGCATATCCGCTAATGGGACAGTTCTAAATGATTGCCTGGGAGAGTGAATAAGGGCCCTGGGGTAGTTTTGTTTTATCTCAATGTTTTTATCCTACGTTAGTCTACCTAAAGTTATCTTATGCATAATTATTTAAAGGCACTCCATTAAAACGGAGCAGGATGATACGATAGAATGACACATGTGCAGGTTAACCTGCTTGCTATTACTACTCATTTATAAAAGGCTTAATATATTACTCATGAGATGTAACAGGTCTACTAAACGCCTAACTCAGACCAGCTAACTAGGTTGCATCATCCAGACTAACCATGCAACCAGACAATACGCCCCATGAAGCTGCATTATAGTAAACCAGCTCAGAATATCTACCGACATGTGCTAAGTGATGCTCATGCTTATAACCCTGGTAGATTACAACCAGGGGTGCGTAGCTAGCTAGTTTGTCCCCCCTCCTTGCTTATGATATTTAACAGTCATCATACCTAGTGATCATTATGCACGAATCTCCTGGATCATTCCTAACTTAGATAAATATGATTTCAGCACTCAATTTATACCACTACTAGCTAAGCTTAAAAACAATATTCACGTCATTATATCTAAAAAAATGTGCATTGTATTCCTAGGTCATGCCAGCAATCCCTCACGTTCAGCCTCTGTTCCCTAGCATGTTATTATTTTAACGGCAAAGTATATAATCTGTATTTTAGTCACTCTTTACTAATATTATACACACCTGCACGATATAACTATTTAACTCGCAACGCACTTGTGACGAGACCAATCTCGCCACATTGCATTGGAGAAGCCTGGTTGCTCGCCTGTTGCCTTTGGACTATGGCCCCATGTTAAAAGCCTTCTTTTCCCCTGCAGAAAAGGCTTATTCGTGCCTTTCTGCCCGGCGGTTGGTAAATTCAATCTACCGAACTAACGCACGAATGACTGGACCACCTGGGAGCTGGAGAGTGTCGGCAATTTACCTCCCAGAAGCTGCGGTTAACCGCAGCTTAATTGACAAGTGCTGGGTGGCCTTTGTTCGTTTGCGAAACACGTGGTGGCGGCCATTTTAAAGTCCCGAATGGCCAGCGGTGTTCAGCGCCAATACTATGGAACTGGAAACGGACACTTATTTGCGCGAACACCTCTGAGCCGTCAGCCTCCTTGCTTCTGCATTCGGTGATTTAACCGGATGCCTGTTCATTCGGTAGTTTAAACCATATGAACAGCATTACTCCAGATAGCCATCCCGTGGAGTCTATTCGTATGGAGAACAGACTTTGTGAACACTTTAACTCCACGGCGATTGGACTGTGTGCATAGGATCTGATTGCTATTTGGTACTTTTGTGCGCTCAGATCTAAGCTATCTTGGGATAGGTAGAATGTATATGTTTTGTGCAACAGTTGTAACTTTATACATTTTTATGTCTTTTACTGTCTTTTACTGCCATGTGGTTAATGGAGTTTTGCCAATTATCTCCAGGACAGAGGGAGGGAAGTTAGGATGCATTGTGGGGATGTTTTACCTCTGTGTCTGTCATTGGTTCATGTCTATCCTTTGTCACAGTCTCCCATTTGGTCCCATAGGGGAGTGTTCACCAGGTGGGAGACCTGCATAAATACTGGGCAGGTAGACCTCATTAAACCAGACCACTGCTTGACCCTTAACACGGAGCTCTGTCTCGTCTTTGGGGGGATTTACTGTATGCTGTTAGAGACTGATTGCCAGGAGTGTAAGCCGCTTGGGTGCTTTTCCTGTTCGTCTGCTAGCAGCTATTCGTGAGGTTCCAGTTCGGGAGTTTGGAGTGCTACTTTGTATGCAGTACGGGAGTTTGAAGCATTCCTTTGTATGCAGTTCGGAAGTTTGAAGCATTCCCTTGTATGCAGTTCGGGAATTCGATGTTCTGCAGTAGCTGTGCCTGTATCTCTGGAAGGGGAAGATCTACTAAACGGCAGTTTAACCCTTTTATGCTGAGGGTGCCAGTACAGCACTCTTAAGTATACAACCTCTTTCATAACAAAAATTTGGAACTGTGTATTGTTATGACCTTGTATGCATTATTCCGCCTGTGTCTGCTGACGTGGCACCACAGGTCTGTTTGTTAACTCTATTGCACCAAAAATAAAGAATTTAAAATAAAAAAAAGTGGACACATTTTTAAAAAAAAAAAAAAATTTATTTTACAAGTGGAGATTATTTTATTTATATAGAGTCAGCAGGTTTTGTAGCGCTGTACAATGGATGGACTAACAGTCACTTAATTGTATTTTTTTTTTTAAGGAATAGAAACTGGGTGAAAGTCTAACGGAGAAGGGAAGGGAGTTCCACAGAAAAGGTGCAGCCTTGGTGAAGTCTTGGAGGCGAGCATCAGAAGTGGGAGTAGAGACAGAGTATAGTCGTAGGTCTTCGGCAGAGCGCAGAGGCCTAGACGGGACATACTTGTGTATTAGGGAGGATAGGTAGGTTGGAGCAGCACTATGTATGGACTTGTAAGCAAGCACCTGAATCTTAAATTGAGCCCTATATCTAACTGGAAGCCAATGTAGAGACTGACAGAGCGTGGGAAGCGTGGGAGGTGCAGCCTCACAGGAAGTTGAGCCTAGCCGCCGCATTCATTACAGATTGCAACGGGGCAAGCTGGGAATATGTAAGACCACTGAGAAGGGGATTTCAGTAGTCAAGGCGAGAGAGGACAACAGCATGGACTAGCACCTTAGCCGCATCCGGCGTTAAATAGAAATGAGCATTTTAAATAATTAACCTTGTTATATCCTCTGACAGTCAAACCGAAAACAGGTCCTGTTACTTCCTGGTTGTTTAGCTCACTGGAGCAAAACTGAAGAAGCAGCAATTGCATTTGAAGAGGAGGACTTGCAAATACTTCAGGCAAGAGATATGCAGCTTTTGCAAGCTATATTTAAATATTTGCCCAAGGAAAAAAAAATGCAAAATGAAATGCATGCAAGCTTTTCTAGGATTTATCTACTAAACAGTGATTTTACTTTTTACTTGGACAGTGGAATGTCCCTCTAAGGATACATGTTTCACTGATCAAATGGTTATTACATTTTGTTGTAATGTATTGACAATTCTATAAAGAAAGAATTTACAAATAATAATATTTAACATCCCAATCCATTCAGTCCTAGCACGGCCAGGGCACACATTGCATTGGAGGAGGAGAAATCGTAACATACGTCCTATTTCTCTCTAGCTGCTGACTGACAGCTGCAAAGGGTGTGGCTTATAAAAATCATTGAAAGGGATCCAAGAAGGGGGCTAGAGCTAAAATCAGCAGTGTGGATTTATATGTTTAAATTTTGAAACTTACAAACACGCGTTTGTTAAATAAAGGGGTAACTAAACATAATACAAATCGTCGGCAGTAACCATTCCCCTTTAAAGCACAGCTAGAAACCTCTTTTTTAATGAGATGATGTGTTTTTCTGATAAGTGACGTCTAGAAACCACCTTAATAACATATATATGAGCTAAACTTTTTAATCTGTCATGACCTCGACAATAAGGCTGTATATGAGCTGTGATCTCATCATGACTCCGGTTGTTAAAATAAAACAGAGAATTTAATAATGGTTTAGTTAGTATGCAGCCGCTGAGGTTCAAACATTAAGTGTAAGTATCTGTTTTTAGGACTGTGCTTCCGGTGACCACTGTTTCCTGTCTCTATTTATATCTGCAGTAATTACAATACAAAACGTGCTTATGCTTTATTGCATTTTCAAGCCTCCTACGTATACGGCATGTTTTGCGACTAGTTCAATTCCCATGTAAAATGATATAAATGGATAATAAATCATGTACAAGGAGAGATGGTTAAACAGATAGTGGACATGCAGATAGATATATGATGGATAGATATATAGATAGAAATACAATATATTGAAACATGATGTACTCTAAGATTTATATATCTTTAAATAATATATTATATGCTATTATGTAACTGTGTATTTCTTTATGCAGATATATTTATCAGTTAAATGTTTCAGGTTAGTAAAAACACAAAAAATATGTAAATCAAATACATACTGAAATTATTATATATTTCTCGGGTGAGAAAAAACTGTGGTCACTTATTAGACCCTAACAGACATTTGGAAGATTCAGTCTTGTAATCAGGGAATAATAGCTACTTTTACAAATTATTATTTTGTGTAATACAATACTGTAATAGAAAAAAAGACTATTAGATTCTTACAATTTTTTATTTATTTTTTGCACCACACAGTGCCCCTTTGCTCTGTTCCTTCACCTGGACTTGTCACATCCGTAGAGTTTTATGAAAGCAGGGTGACACTGCAATGGTTCTATGCCAAGAATACCATGCAATACAAGTTAACAACATTCCGTGACAGAGGTACCTTTACCGTACGAAAAGAATATGGAAATGACTATCAAGAAGAGATGGGGAAATAGGCCAATCAACGGATTCACATCCCATATTGTGAAAATAATACAATCTGTTTTATTTGATAAATTATAGAAAGGTGTTTAGGCAATAATAACCGCCTGCAACTGCATTGTACTATCCATAATGTTTTGACTCTAGTGCAGGGGTTCTCATCCCAGTCCTCAGGACCCCCTACCAGTCCAGGATTTGGGGATTACCTGGGTGTGTCTCAGGTGTTTAGAAAAAGGGAAAAAAACACCTTAGACTCTAAGCCTTAGACTCTAAAGTGTTTTTTTTCTTTTTCTAAACACCTTAGACATCCCCAGGTAATCCCCAAATCCTGGACTGGTAGGGGGTCCTGAGGACTAACGTTGAGAACCCCTGCTCTAGTGGAAGCTAAGAGAGTTAAATCAGAGCTCCTAGCTGTTAATGGGCCACAGCCCCTGTAATTCTCCACAGTTAGTTAATAATTAGATGAGTTGTAGGCACATTTTGACATATTTAAGCTTTGGATTAACAGAAGGGTGACCAGCACAATAGACGTAGAGAAACCCTTTAGCCCCATAACCACTACAGCTCTCTGTGATAGTTATGGTGGCTGCCTAAATTATATGTAGTCAAACTGTTTTTGAACGGTTTGACTTCCTGCCTGGGGTCTGCCAGACGCAATACTAATACAGGAGAGCCAGAGGATCCTAAGTAGGAGCTCCAGGTATATCTTCTGAAAAAGTGCTGAGGGCGACCAATGAAATAGCCTTGCACTGCAGTGGTTCTCCAGAGTTAGTGGAGGGGAGGAGCACACCCAATGGTTAAAAATGGCAACTTTCAATGGGGACGAAGCAAGCTGTAGTGGTTCTAGTGCTCGGAGTGTTCCTTTAACCCTTTAAGGACTGAGCCAAATGTACACGTTGTGAACAAAACAAAACATAAACAAAACCTGGCATTTGCGCTACATGTCTGTCCAACCGTAATTCACCTCTTTCATATTAAATGCACCCAACCTTATTATATATCATTTTATTCAGGGCTTTCATTTAATATAAATCAAATATTTATATCAAATATTTAGCTATGAAACATAATTGAATTTGAAAAAAATGGGAGAAAATAAGAAATGTTGTTATTTTTTTAGTTCTACATGACACTGTCAATGTCATAATACTGTTTGCTTTTACTGCAATAAAATACACATATTTGTATTCAGTGATGTCTCACGTGTAAAATGGTACCCCCTATGTACAGGTTTTATGGTGTTTTGGAAAGTTACAGGGTCAAATATAGCATGTTACATTTGAAATTGAAATTCGCCAGATTGGTTAAGTTGCCTTTGAGACTGTATAGTAGCTCAGGAATTACATTTACGCCCATAATGGCATACCATTTGCAATAGTAGACAACCCAAGGTATTGCAAATGGGGTATGTCCAGTCTTTTTTAGTAGCCATTTGGTCACAAAATATATTTTTATTTATATATAGATATATATATAGTGATATATACGTATATATTTACGTATATAGATATATATTTCATTCTATGTGTATTTTGATATAAATATATATATATATTAATATCACAATACAGTTAGAACGAAATAACACATCTATATATTTTTTAATTATTTATTTTTAATTATTTTTTTTATTTTTTTTGTATTTACATATTTATTTTTTTATATTATATATAAATATATATAACAATAATTATATATATATATATATAATCAGTATCAGTCTACGTGTAATTTGATATTAATATATATTAATAGTAAAATAATAATGTGTGTGTGTGTGTGTATATGTGTATATATATATATATATATATATATATACACACACACACACACACACACACACACACACATATACACACATATATACACATATATACACAATACCAGTAGAGAGCACCCAATAGTCTTTCAAGGTAAATTTCATCTGTTGCTTTATTGAGCAATTACAAATTCACACAACGTTCCAGTCGACGTTTCAGTCTGTAAAAGACTTTTTAAAGTCTTTTACAGACTGAAACGTCGACTGGAACGTTGTGTGAATTTGTGATTGCTCAATAAAGCAACAGATGAAATTTACCTTGAAAGACTCCTGAGTGCTCTCTACTGGTATCGTATACAATTTGGTTGGAGACAGCAACGGAGCATTAAAAGACTGGGAGCATTAAAAGACTGGATGCTAATCCGGGTTGTATAATACCATTTTCTGACATACACCTGGTACTGGGACCTGGGACGTGTATATATATATATATATATATATATATATATATATATAAAAATAATCTAAGTATATAATTATTTTTTTTACACTGATTTTAACTGTTTATTTGATTTTCAGCCAGCAGCCAGCTAACCGGCCATGTGATTGTGAGGTCCTCGCAAGGACCTCACTCTCACATGGCCGGGGGGGGGGGCTAAGGAGGCAGGATCCGCCGCGGGGGACTCCCTGGCGTGGGATCGCCGGTGACCGGGTAAGTAAAAAAAAGAATGGAGGGCGTACTATTACGCCCTGCGGCTTTTAGAGCCGCTTACAATAGGGCATAATAGTACACCTCCGGTTTTAAGGGGTTAAAAAGCTAAGAACATATACAAAAAAAAACTGATCTAACTATATTTTCACCTGAATTTGACCAAGTTCATAGGTTTTATATCAGTCATCACATAATTATGCCTTAAGGTAATTATTTAACTTTTCCTCGTTATTCACATTCCTGTTAAAACCTGTTGTTTTTCCTAACCCATAAATTGTCTTCCTATAATACTTTGCTATATTCATGTTTTGAATTCATAGGAAAAAATGTGGTTTGGGTTTTGACTTTATATTCAAATGTACCTTTTTTTTTTCTAGAACCTGTTTCATAAAGCAATAAATATTTAATATTTCCAATGTAATCCTATATTTATCTGACTGTCTACTATAACTCTTGTATCCACCTTTATTGTATTTCCAAGGAATTAGAGCAAGAATGCCCAATAGGTAGATCCCCAGATGTTGTAGATCTACAACTCCCATGATGCTTTGCATGGCTGTAGAATGGCAAAGCATCATGGAAGATGTAGTTTTAAAACATCTGGAGCTCTACCTTTTTGGCACCCTTGAATTAGAGTAATTTACAGTGGAACAGACTTTGTGCTTTAGTTATCTACTGGATGCTAATCCAGGTTGTATAATACCATTTTCTGACATACACCCAGTATTTAAAGAGACACTATAGTCACCAGAACAACTACAGCTTATTGAATTTGTGTTGGTGAGTAGAATCATTACCTTCAGGCTTTTTGCTGTGAACACTGTCTTTTCACAGTTAACTTTACTGGCCACTCCTCAGATGGCTGTTAGAGATCCTTCCTGGGTCATGGCTGCCTAAAATGCATCCAAACATTCAGTATCTCCTCCCTCTGCATGCAGACACTGAACTTTCCTCATAGAGATTAATTGATTCAATTCATCTCTATGAGGAGATGCTGATTGGCCAGGGCCATGTTTGAATTGTACTGGCTCTGCCCCTGATCTGCTTCTTTGTCAGTCTCAGCCAATCCTATGGGGAAGCATTGTGATTGGATCTGGCTACCACTTCTGATGATGTCAGCAGACTGCTTGTTTTTCTGAGGCAAACAGAATGCAGATTTACAGCTTCAGGCTTGAATACAAGTAAGATTTTTCTATATTTATGGAGGCATGAGGGACCCGGGGGGGATTGTAAATGGATCCCTTTATAGGGCTTTTACACATACAATAAACTTTGTCTGATACCAGCAAAGTTTATTGTATGTGTAGAAGCCCTATAAAGGGTTAAATGTGAAAGGGTTTATAAAATACTCCTTCTTGTCTTACTGGAGATTCTTGGCTGATATCAGCATATCTAATGGCTAGTGTAGGACTCACCTATTGAGGCTTGCCTTGATGTGGCAGGTGAGCTTATATATTCAAATGGCCATTGGAATAAAACTAAAGAGCCTCCATTTTGTTTAAATGTACATGGGGATTTAGGCCAGAACACAGGTAACGTTCTTTTTGTTTTTACACACATACATAGCCATACACAGACATACAGACAGATACAGACATACATACAAACAGACAGGCACACATACACACAAACAAACACACACACATACAAAATGTTTAAGTCACCCTCCTGTTTCCTACCTTTTAGGTGCATGAGGGTGACTTTCCCTGAGGTCCAGTGGTAGCTCAGGCTGGTGGGAGTCAGAGTTCCCACTCTGACGCCCTCTCCTTCCTCCTGTGCGGCTCTCTGAAAGCTTGGAGGAGTGACCGGGGCAGTCACTTCCTCCCAGCTGTGATCTCATCACAGGCAGCCCGGTCGTGCTGTTAAAGGGCCGCAGCGCTGAACGGGCCCCCTGGAAATCCATACCCATAACAGCATGGGCCACTCGATAGGCCCCTTGAACGTGCGGCCCCGGCGGTTTTTAAACATGTCGGCTGGTACCCGGTTACACGGGTCCGCAGGGCGGCCGGGCCCCCATCTTGGATGGAAAGGCCAACTCCGGACTGCCTAAGGAGGAGGGAACATGACTGCTGGCTGGAGTAGTTGGCATGGTAACAGAATTGCTACAATGTGTGTGACAGGAACTAGGAGACAACTCACCAGTCCACTGTAGCACAGCCGAGTGATCCTGGTGGTGCTTTTTCTGTGGAGATTTCCTTCAGAAAAAAGAGAGTACTTGAATTTTCACTAACTATTACTTCATATCGGCTATTATATCCACCCGCTGACTTTCTTCTGCAAGTGCAAGTCGGCTAGGAGAGCAGAGTATTGCTGTCAATTCGGTAGTTCAGAGAGTGGACAGATTGGACTCTCTGCATCAGACCAGTGAGTATAATTGGGCTCTAGCCTGGCAATTTGCGCAGTTACAGTCAGGATTTCATGCCTAGCAAGGCAAAGTCATTGGTCTGCTTAGTGCAGTCTTAGATAAACTAACTCCTAGCGCATCACACACAGGTAGCAGCGATTCTCTTGCTGCTCAAGGGGACAGCTCTATTCCTACGGGTGCGGAAGCTACCGTTACTGCCCCCTCACTTGGCCCAGTTTATGAAGTGTCCCCATTGGGTCTCCATGTGCCTACAGAGGTTAAGGACAAAATTTTGAAGGGTGAATTTGTAGACCTCTTATCTCTAGATAAGGAAACAATGGACAGACCGTGTTGTGGTGGTCCATCTGAAGGGGAAAAGGGTAAGCAGCTTCATCAGACCATCGGAAATTGGCTCCAATGTTTTGTCAGTTTTGCTAGTATACTATCAAGTAAGTTTCTGGAGCGGGCCCCTTCCCTGTTTGCATACTTGGACTTAATATGGGGGGCTTACAAAATCTATGGGGGTCAGTGTTGGTTTAAATATGACCAACAATTTAGAAAAAAAATGTCGATTCGGCCTAATATAGATTTCAGTATAAAAGACGGCAACTTATGGCTTTTATTGATGACGCTATGACACCCACTCCTTTCGGCGGGTCACAAAAAAGGCATTTGCTGGCTCTTCAACAAGAGCCATTGCAGATGGTACAGGAGCTGCTGTGTTAAACATGAATGCTCAAATTGTGGAGAAGCCCACCCGGTTGTGCGTTGTTTTAAGAGGGGAAAACCTTTACCTAGATCGGCGTCCAAGGATGACGTTCCTAGGAATGAGGACCCCGGTGAAGGTAGAAAGGCTCCGTCCGTGGCTCGTACGGTATCCTAAACGTTGAGAGGTGGAGATTCATTGGGAAGGTTTCATGGAAGGTTCTTTGGAAGGCGTTGTTTGCTCTGAATTTATTGTCTGTTTAAGGAAAGGAGGCTATCTTAGTGGATAAGTTGATGAAGGAAGTGAGTTTATATCATATGGCTGGCCCCTTTTCCCACTCGCCGTTGCGAGTATCCCCTCTGGGTTTGGTATCTAAAAAAGAATCGGGCGCTTATACGTTATTTCACCACTTTTCCTTCCCCGTTGGTTCGTCGGTTAATGATGGCATATCAAAGGATGATTTTTGGGTTTGATATGCATCCTTTGATAGGGCATTGGAGTTGGATCACGCGATGCAGGGCAAGAGGCCCTGCTAGCAAAATCCGATAGATCTGTGTTCCGTTTGTTACCCGTTCATCCAGACTGTTTATCCAGTTTCAAAGTGACTTCTTTTTTGAAATGTGTCTCCCCATGGGTTGTTCTATTTCATGTTATTTTTAATTGTTAAGTTCCTTTCTAGAATGGGTCGTGTCGCGCATCTCGGGTAGCTTTTCTCTCCTTCACTACCTTGACAACTTCTTGTTCGTTGGCCCGGCGGATTCTCCGGCCTGCCTATCCTTGTTACGTCTTTTTCGGGAAGGTGTGTTTAATTTAGTTGTTCCCATTGCAGTAGATAAAACGTAAGGCCGTAACACGGTTATCTCCTTTTTGGGAATTAAAATCGATTCGGCCCGGCGTCAGTTTCGTCTTCCGGAGGATAAATTGCGGGTATTGTCGTCCATGGTGGGTTTGCTTCAGGGTTCCCGGAAGATTCAGCTTAGGCAACTGCAATCTCTCATGGGACACTTACATTTTGCATCTTGTGTCATGCCTCTGGGTTGAGCCGGCGGCTCTCACTAGCGATGGTTGGTATTCAGCTCTCCTTCCAACGCAACAGTTAAAGGCAGATTTGAGTGTGTGGAGCGAATTTGTCAGGATATAATAGTCATACCTATTGGCGTACCAAAACGGTATCAAACTCCCTTGGAACTGTTCACCAACGCTTAAGGATCTATCGTTTTCGGTGCATATTTCCAGGGTCACTGGTGTGCGAGTTGATGGACTTCGACTTGGACTGGTGAAGACTTTCTCCGCAACCTAACCTTCTTGGAATTGTTTCCCATCATTGTGACAGTGGAGCTATGGGGTTCTCTTGAACACGCAGGTTCTCTTCTAGACTGGCAAAATGAGTGTTGTCCATGTGGTAAATCGGCTGTCTCACCCAGTCTTAGCTCTGTTACGGTGGTTGTTTTTGCGATGCCTAGAATATAACATATGGTTTCATGCAGTTCATGTTCCAGGGGTCGATAATTCTATTGCAGATTCTCTGTCTCGTCTGCAGTGGGATCCGAGAGCCGACGCGATGGGCTTGACCTGTCCAGACTTCTTATGGAACCTCGATTTCAGAACTTAACAGAACTAATTAGAGTGTCGTTGGCTCCATCTTCATGGTAGGCATATGGGTTGGTATGGGAACAGTGGATCTCAAGTTCAGTAGGGGAGTTCGATTTATCATCACCCAATGGTAGGTCGTGCACTATGCTGGCTTTTCTGTCCTCCCTGCATTCTGCTGGAGCATTAGTGGCTTCAGTAGAACATAACATGTCAGCCCTTTCCTTCCGTCTGCAGTTTAGAGGATGTTACTAAGTCATTACTGAGTCAGCAAATATTACGGGGTTGGAGGAGGGAACGGGTGGTGGACATCTGTCATCTGCTCTCCATCCCCTTTCTTACCTTAATCTGTGTGGGGTTCTTCCCTTTGTTTCTATGCGGCCTTGCATATTGGTGAGTTATTTACCCACATAGCCAGCAATGCCTCAGCGATCTCTCTCTCAGATGTTACCAGTGACCAAAGCTCAGTGGAATTGTGAATTCGGAAGTCTAAAACCAACCAGCTGGGGTCTGGTCGAGCTATTAGAATTGATGCTACTGCTGGAGTTTGATGTCAGGTTTCCTTGGTTCGTGCCCACCTTCGGGTTCGCCTATCCTGGGAGGGTTCCTTTCTTATCCATGAGGATGGGTCAGTACTCACGCGCTCGCAATTTTCAAGTGTCTTTAAGTAAGAGTTGCACTCGCAAGGGGTACAAGATAGTGGTTATCCCCCTCCCCCCCATTCTTTTCGCATATGTGCGGCTACTCAGGCTAGCAGATTAGGTTTATCAGATGCAGCTATTCAGCGCTTGGGTCGGTGGAGCTACCGCAGATTTCGCTTATATGTGTGCTCTCACTTATTGTAGGCGCTCGGAGGGTAACAACCATTTATCTGTTTTCCAGGTTCTGTCCAATTTCTTTGGATTATAGATCACTCCTTTATTTACTGGGCAGCTCGTTAGGCAGATCAAAGACTGTACAGCAGGAATCTGGGGTTCTCTCATGACCAGGTTAGGGTAAAATATGGCGGGATAAGGGGCGACATATGGTATCAGATTTACCCGGAATACGTAGCCCTATGGTGTTTTGTTTCTGACTCTGTGATGCTGCTTATCCATGCAAGGGGTAATGACTTGGGCATGGGTTTTACCATGGACTTAAGCCACGCATGTAAACACGATTTGGCACACTACTTTGCATTGTTTCTTAGTTTGATGTTAATTTGGTCGGAGGTGGTTCCCCATCCCTGTTGGCAATCCTTACCTAACGTTAAGGCCCTAGAGCGATCTCATCGTCGGCTCAACATGACGATATACAGATTTGTTCGCAGTTCAGGGGGCCTGGTGATTTGGCATATTGAGCTGGAGGGAGACAATCATAGCATGATGAGGAATGATGGGGTTCACCTCAACCCCATTGGACTGATTTTTAATATGGGTTTCCAAACGGTTGTTGAAAAAGCGCTGGCTTCGCGTGGAATGCAGCCTTTCCCTAGTTTAGGGTTCAGGCTGCGATAGGTTTTCCTTCGCCAGCAAGTTATGAAAGGACACTGCCTGGATGGGCTTGGGGAGTCGCAGCCTGATTTGGTGGATCACGAATGACAGGCTGAAGAGGCTCTGGTTATAAAGTTCTGCAAACCAGCAGTTGACAGTGGTTGCTTGGTTGTTGGAAAATAAAGCTGTGGCTGTTGCCTTTACCCGCTAATATGGTGTTGTGTTATTTATTGGTGGGAGGGGACAACCGGAACATTTTACGGAGGTATCAGCAGTCTTGTTAGGGAGAGATTAAGCCAAACCTATGACTAACTTAGCATCACTTTGTTATAAATTTCACTTTTATTATTTCATGTTCAATCAGGGGTAGAAATTCTGAGAGAATTTTTACCTCCTTCCAAGTAATTTGCTTCTGTGCTTCCCTTCCTTTATGGTGTGGTCAAAGTGAACCAGAAGGTTAGGGGCAAATATATACCCAAAACTCCAACTAGACTACAAGCTACAGGCAATTACAGAGCTTGCCTAACCTGTTGTGTCTGTCCACATGTGGCCTTCATTGTTCAACTGTGTGCATCTCCCACTTCCTGTGACTGAAGATTTGTCTGGAAAGGACTTTGCTAAACCAGACAGCAATAAGCTAGCCACACCTGAGATTGGCAAAATACTGTAGGACAACCTACAATAGTGAAACACAACATCTAAAAGGTTATTTAAAAACATAACTAATGGTTCATAAATGCCTTATTACAGTAGTGTATACCAGACTACACTGAATGTTTAAACAAAATAAAAAAAAATCTTCTGCTGTGGACCTTCCCTTTTTATATATTTGCTTGACAGAAACCAGACACCTTCCCTATTTCCTTCCAGATCTACAAGGTCTGACAAACACTAACAAATATTTATATGGCGATTGGAAACCTACCAAATCCCCTCAACACTGAAGGAATATGATCACGATTTTTTTTTTTCTTTTATACACAGAGTTTTATTGACAAATAACTGAGCCAAACAGGTTACTTCTTGGACACACCCACTGTGCATCGGTGGTCTTTGTGTGCTGACCTCTGACACACAGGCCCCAGAAGTGACGCAGCCCTCTCTGAGCCTTGATCTTTTTGAGCCTCTCAAGATCTTCACGGAGTTTGTTGTCGAGACCGTTAGCCAGGCCTGGCTGTATTTTCCATCCTTAATGTCTTTTTGTCTGTTCAAGAACCAGTCTGGAATTTTGTACTGACGAGGGTTTTGCATAATGGTGACAACACGTTCAACCTCATGCTCTGTCAGTTCTCCTGCACGCTTTGTCAAATCGATATCAGCCTTACCAAGAACCACATGAGCATAACGACATCCAACACTCTTAATAGCAGTTATTGCAAACGCAATCTTCCTGCGTCCATCGATGTTGGTGTTCAAGAAACGCAAAATGTGCTGGAACATCTTGGGGATTAAGAAAGACATGGCGGCTGCAGCCCTTAGGAGAGAGAGATTCAAGATTTTATTTAATTAATTGTTTTTCTCATTATTTTTGTTCTATCATTTTGATGCTAGCTGATTTGTCTTGGTGACTCCAGTGGTAGGTTTGAGAAGAAGGTAAGTTAGCTCAAGAAAAGTGAGTAAATAATTATATGCGATTTGCCACAATATTTTGCAGTGCACAGATTGCTCCATTTTCACACCCTTTGGATTAGTTTCACTTGTGTTTATGACTGTTTTTCATTAATAAAATTCAGATGAGCCAAAGTGCCATAAAGCAGAAATTCGCTATCCAGAAAAACAAAATTCAGAAAAAGTGCTTTGGACGACACAAATTTATTTGCTGTGCACACGTCTAATATTAAACTAGTATTTTCTTGTATAACAAAACTCTAGTGGGGTTATTAACTAAAATCCGCATTTGGTCTGGATGGAGAAAATATAGTTAAAAAAAAAATAAAAAATTTCAACCCGACTTACAATTCTCATATTTACTAAAGACAAATCTGATTAAAATTTGGTAATTTGAGCACAACTCATCTTGGAATTGCACATTTTAAATGTATTCTTATTTTTTTTTTTATTGATAATTAAAATCATTATTAATTTTGAAATCTGTTTTAAATTGTTTTAATTTAGAATGCTATATTTTTCACATGATCTTGTGTATAAATAAAATATTACAGTTTTTTATGAAATATTTCTAACCCTCTTTGTCTTTATTACTTTCATTTATAAATTTTTCATTAGTTAATATAGTTATAATATAAATTATTTAACCCCTTAAGGACCAAACCTCTGGAATAAAAGGGAATCATGACAGGTCACACATGTCATGTGTCCTTAAGGGGTTAAACCTTTCAGCACTAGCTAGTCTTGTCAGATAGTGAGCGCACACTCTACACTTCTTGAACTGGCTCTTTTATAACTTTTGAGCACAGGCTGAAGTTTGGTTATCATGTCAATACCAAGTCATTAAATGAGCTGTCATTAAGCTGATAGCAGCCAAGGTGCAGCTTCTGTTAGCTCAGACAGCAGTTTCACTAGTCTAATGAATGGTCCTGCTGCCCATCTTTGAACTACATGCATTATAAATTATATAAAAGCTATTGCAGGTTAAAAAAACATTATCTTCATTAACTAATTTATGCTTTGTAAAATAATAAATATACACAAAATAAAAATAACAAGATTGACTGACGTATATTTATCACACACTGCATTTTAATGAGATTAATGCGGTACAAATCCAGTAGAAGTTGCCTTACCAACATTTTTTTTACATGTGATTTTGACAAATTTAAACATTTTTACATTGACAGAGAAAAGTTGCACTGTCGATGCATTAAAATCACATCATATAGAGATATTGAAATATTGCTGGGTGACCAAATTATTGAACAGACTATATATATTGTCTACCCCGGTGTAAAACTTGACTGACGGCTACTGTCAATCAGCATTGAAGTTGCATGCAGTAAATAGACCAAAAGTATCAATTCTTCTACATTTGATGCCAAGACACATTCTAACTGAGATTTCTGTAGAAGAATACGACAAAGTAGCTTATTATAATATGTTAACATGGAAACACATTTAAAACAAATATCAAGGCAGAGTTTCATGAATAATGTTATTGTGCTTAAAACAAAAACAAAAAATAACAGATCTGCTTTAAAACGATCTTTTTTTAGCATGTATATTTTTAACATTTGATGTTTACTTTTAAACTTGTGATGTTTGTACTTATTTGTGGAAGATGTTCTCGTTCCAGTTAAACAGGAAGGATTGGCAGTTTGAGATCTGTAAACATATTTGTAGATGATCAGTTTAGCAATAGTTACATAGCTGAAAAGAGACTTGCATCTATCAAGTTCAGCCTTTCTCACATTGTTTTTTTGTTGTTGATCCAAAAGAAGGCATCCCCCCCACCCCCAAAAAAAACCAGTTTGAATCAGTTCCAATTTTGCAACAAACTAGGAAAAAAAAATCCTTCTTGACCCCGGAATGCCAGTCAGATTAATCCTTGGATCAAGCAGTTATTACCCTACATTGAAAAATCATATCCTTGAATATTCTGTTTTTGCAGGTATGCATGTTGTTGCTGTTTGAATATCTGTATGGACTCTGATAAAACCACTTAGTCAGGCAGGCCACATCCTGATTGTTCTTAAAGTAAAAAATCCTTTCCTTTGCCTTAGAAAAAATCTTCTTTCTTCCAGTCTAAATGCATGACCTCGTGTCCTATGTAAAGTCCGGTTTGTGAATAGATTTCCACACAATGGTTTGTATTGGCCCCGAATATATTTGTATAATGTTATCATATCCCCTCTCCAAAGAGGTTTAATATATATATTTATCTAATTTTATTGTCATCGCATAATATTTGTGTTCTTTATAATTTTAAGGAAAACTGTCACCTCAAACCTATTTTAATGTAATAGTCCTTTCATCCAATATTGAAAACAACTAGGAAAAGTCATCCATACATTAATTATATGACAGAATCCTTCAGCCATATACTTGCACCTTGGGTCAGACAGTGTTTGAAATCCGACAGTCTCAAGGGTCTTCCCTGCTTCACTCCCTACACAGAAATAGGGAAGACCGTAGAAACAGTTTTCAAACATTCAAGAAACTTTGTCAGTTTTCAAACATTGTCTAACCCTATGTGCATGGATATAGCTGTATGCATTTTTTTTTTTACATATACTTAAAGGGACACTATAGTCAGAAGTACAGCTTAATGTAGTTGTTCTGGTGAGTATAGTCTGTCCCTGCAAAATTTTTCATGTAAACAATGCCTTTTCAAAGGAAAATCAGTGTTTATATTACTCCTCTGACGGCCGCTAGAGACGCTTCCTGGGAAAGTGCTGCACACGTTCAGTGCGGAACTTGCTGATAGAGATGCGTTGATTCAATCCATCTCTATAAGGAGATGCTGATTGGCCAGGGTTACATTTGACTCCACCCCACACCGCCTCCTTGGCTGAGATCGTCATTTCAATAACAAACCAAACATCATACACTCGAAAGAGGAGGGCTATAAGTAAGGAAAACACAATTCTGGCCTCTCAAAAAGTTCATTACTTTTTTTGTTTGTTTTTAATACAACTTTGTCACCAACATCTTTTCTAAAAAAAAAATTTTTTAAAGCAAGAAGGAAAATAAAAATGTACTGTACTATCAGATTTTTCCAAGAAAATAAGACACATCTGATTACTTTGCATACATTACATATTTGGCAAAGAATAAAAAAGTTAAGGGCAGCCTCAAAAAAGTGTATTAAGTGAAAATAATGTTTGTAAAGATCAAGCCCGCTTTATTACATGATTGGTGTACTCAACCACAAGCAGTAATACTATTGAAACTCAGACAACACACTACAGAGAAACTAGCAGATACTCAATTGCACTCAAACCTTCATTTGTTTCTTCTTCTCCCAATTAAAAACCAATATTCAGCTCACGGATGTCCTAGCTGTGTGAGCAAATCAAATAGTTTACTTTACCAGGGGAACCATGGGTATTGTGATCTGTGTTGCCCTAATCAAATGGTCTACTTTGCGTAGAATCTAGAGACAGTCATTACACAAGGCTCTGCCATTATTCTTACATTAGTCTTTGGTACACTTTACTCTCTATTTACTTTCTATTTTTTTGTCTTAGTCCAAACTCTGAGATGTCATAGACTCTGCTATTGCCTTTATTCCAGGTATTGCATTGCCCTTGCACCAGCATTTGTTATGTTTGTTGCAGTAACCTGGCATAGTCTCCGCAACAGCTTCCCGTATGAACCCCAAGTTACATTCTGGCATAGCCTCTTCACTTGCCTCACTTGTCAGAATTCTTGCATACCTTTCTATCCAGGTTCCTAAACCAATCTCTGGTATAGTCCCTCACATTGAACATTGTTATAGCCCCTACACCAGCTCCATAGATTCCCTGCTCATGTAACAGACTCTGCCATAGGTTCTGCCCCAATTTCTATCATAGCCCCTTCAACTCTTCTCTAATAGCTTCAGAAGAGGACCAGCCAGAATAACATGGCAGCACCCATGAAAGAAAGGTTCAGGTAAGTAAATCAGTCTCTATCATAAATATAAATATAGCTATGACGTGTAGGACAACTGCAAGCTTGTAGTCCATCATCACTAGGAGATGAGATAAATGTCTTAACAGGAACGATCACATCAACACTTTTGTATGTCTAAAATGAAAATGAGAGTATATAAGACCTTGAGAAGTAGAAAAAAAGATTGTAAAAACTATTAGGAGGTAACAATCCCAAAAAGCAGAATACATTGTGTGTCCCTAGTATTTTTTACACGTAGTGATGCAATGATTTTGTCAAGGATCAATGTATCTCAACATGCAAACCTAGTGCAAACAGTAAAGAGAAAGAATTACAGGTCCTTTTAGAATGACCGGGCTTAGCGTTAAAGACAGTGAGACAGTCTGAAGACAGAAAAAGAAAAGTACAACAGATGCACAGAATGGAACAAACTGAAGAAACAAGTCAAGATCAGGCAAATTAGAATTCAGGAAAATTAATACAAATTAATTAAGTCAAGTTGGTAACCAAAAAATAATTAAAAACAAATGCACGCACTCTCTCCAGCTGTCATTGGTCTGGGTCAAATTCTGGTGCCAGAACATGTGTGACCTGAGTCTCAGAAACGGCACGTTGGCTGTGGCTCCAAAATATGACGCAGGCCTAACTGGTCATAATGGACGAACAGACTGATCGGTCCAGGTCAAAATTCTACACCAGAACAACGTGCAGTGTCAACTTGTGTTTGTTGATATCTTGAAGGGGCAGAGGATGTGGCACGTATCTTGAGTTCAGATGTAGAACATTAGGGGGGGAAACTAGGACCTGGCTTTAATGATTGGGTTAGTCCATCTATATGAACTGTGAACAAAGGCTGCATCTGAACCATACCTCAGTGGCCCTAAGAATTGGCCATTGTCCCATAGGGAAGCTGTAAAGTGAGGAAAATTAATAAAATCATGTGCTCATGTATTTATTTACATTATCTATTTCTGTTTACTACTGCATTAGGGATGAGAAGTCTTTAATCTCCACAAAACTGGTTTCTGTTAAAAATGGTTAGTAGAAGTATCTTAAAGTAGACTGATCACATCAATATTTGTGTACATCTTAAACCTTACCTGCAACTCGCCTTTAACATTGCTCTGGATGGATAATATTTTGAACATGACTAATTGAGGGAGTAAACTGAGGAAGTGTGAGGAAACTGACTAATGTATAACCAAATGACTAATTAAGCACATGACCTCTGTGATATGCAAGACCAGTGATATCAGATCAAATATAACCAACTTGGTGCATCACCTATGCAACAGGGAAACTCATTAAATGATCAAATATGATCAACTGATCATGTGATTGCTGAGGTAGAACAGCTTAGGAATTTACAACCAAATTTGCTCAATTCTGTGATCTCTGTGATAGAAAAAGCTCATTGTGTGACCTTAGTGATAAAGGACGCACCATAATATACAATTACCATCACGTCCGTATGTGAGCAGAGATTGCTGGGAAAATATTTATACCTGAAACCTCTCCTTTATTTACAGGCTAATTATGAGCTTTTGTGCATATATGTCACTTTATTGTTTTAATGGTTTAAAAGATAAATTTACACTTTTGTTATTCTGTTTGTAGCATAATTTTTGTCAGCAGATTTTCTCTGTATTTCAATATTCATTAGCAATTCTAAATAAATGTAATGATATTTATGTTTTAGCTCTTTGCTTGGTTTTATGTTTTTTTTTTTTCTTTAGGTAATCCATTTCTTATGATTTCTGTTTATTCATATTTTGCACTTGTTGATTTATTATTACCCCAATAATTGTTTCACATGCTTCTCATATGACCAATAGGCAAGTCTCCTGTGCTTTCATCTTTTAAAGAAAACATGTGCTACTTCAATGTGGTTATCTAATAGAGACTGGTTAAACCACCAGAACCCAAGAGTCTTAAAGGGGCACTGTATCACACACACCCTGACCCTTAGACATTGGGAGAAGCTACTGCCGTCCAGAAGTGTCAATCTCCCAGCAGTCACCAGAAATGGCTGCAGAGATACTAGCTGTATCTATGGAGGACACAGCGGTCCTGCGGGATCTTCCATAGAGCTCAATGGTGTACTTTAGCACATGCGAGAGTACACCAGTGATGTCAGCTCATGGCGCTTCAGAAGAGGACCAGACAGAATAACATGGCAGCGCCCGTGAGAGAAAGCTTGAGGTAAGTAAATCTTACCTTTACCTGCCCCCCAAGCCACTGGACAACTAGCAGCAGTGTCACCGTTGGGAGTCTTTGCAAATTGTGCAAAGCCACCAGACGGTGACAATACCTGTTTAAGATTAATATGGTTGACGTATATTGTTTCTTTGGTACCATGTTATGTTTTGATGTTTAACTAGATCAATTTTTTTCAGAGTCTACTATTTACTACACATGCTGCCCTATCTTACAGTGGCTCTTTCAGGGGTCTTTGTATATTTTAAAATGATCCGCTATGGTGACATTACGGTTTGTGATGCAGTGGCCCAGGGGTGAAGTCGAAAGATTGTTATCATTCCCTGAAGCTATTAGTTGCGGGCGCCGCCATATTACTTCTTTATCTCCTGGAGCTTCATCTGTCCAGAGCCCATGTCAACGCTGTAATCTCACTTATGCAAGAGAGTACAACACCGATGTCTATGGAAGATCCTGTAAGGCCACAGGAGCCTTAGTAGATTAAGTCTCACGAGAAGTGAGACAATATCTAGTTGTCAGTTTTGTCATCTTGAGGCTTTACTATAAGACAAAGTAGTCCCTAATTTGTTTTATAATCTCTTTAAAAAAAAAAAGCAAAAAAAAATTAAACTGACCTTCAAAATGGATTAATATTCCCACATATAGTGGTACTTAACTTCAAATGATGTAGCTTCACAGGTGGTGTTTCCCAATTTACCACACTTCTTAAACAGCAAAATAATCAGAATATTAGGGATTCAGCTAAACATCTTATAAAAGAATTAAAAAATAACACCATATGGTGAAGCACAGTTACATAAAATGTAATATGTGCTATAAAATCACACTCAGAGAATGAAGTTAAATTTGGTGCCTATGTTTTGACTGCTTTGGAATTTTAATGAAATTCTGACGCAGTTAGTATGAGTATTTCATAACGATTTCTTTATTTTTTTGGTGACACTTTGTCTATGTTTAGGTCCATGTTCTATTTAGCTTGACTAATACTCTGGTGATACAAAATGCTGCCACTTGGTGTAGATTCAGTCTCTTTTTTTGGCTTTTTTTTTTTTATATGTAACTCCATGATAGTACAGCTGCTGCTCTACAGAGGAAGACAGGAGGAGAAACAGGAGTGAAAATAAAAAGAAATATATTTGAATTCATTTCTAAACCCACCAAACCCCTTAATGACAAAGTAATTAGTCAGACCTCAATTACAGATTTCATTTTTCAACCTCGATACATACCCAAGGAGACAGACATGGCTATTCAGTAAAGTGTAATTTTTCCAGAATTCAAAAAGAACTTCAAATGTTTGGATACAATAGCTGAACAAAACTCCCCAAGTCAGCTATATGTTTAATATTTAATCACATACCTTGCCTAATTTAATTTTATACTTTCGTCTGCCGTCATATGTCTTGCGTTTCTTCTTGTTTAGTTCCTTCCTTTTTAATGTAACCAGTATACTCCAAAGATATATTCTAGGTCACTGGACCCCCTCCTGGTGTTTCAGTTATTCCACACTTCCAGTTTATTTATAACAGTCTACTTATAACAAAAAAACAAAACAAAAAAACTTGCACTGAAGGGCACCAGTATCTATTTGTTTGGTGCTCTGTTGAACAAAAATAATAAAATGCAGAATTGTACCCTATAGAGCAGCTAAACACAATACAGTTAAATATGTTAACATTCTTAAAAAAAAAAAAAAAAGAGTTCCGCTGTTAATAGGTTTTAATGCTCATTTTAACTTGACAATCATTCCCTATAGATATAAATAGCGGATCTGGAGTGTCCGTACGGGTGGGACTAGTCTGATATGCTTCAACATGGAACATGTTGACAAGCGTCAGGATGAGGAGCAACACAGGAGTATTTTTAAAAGGTAAATTATTTTAGTTTGGTTTTGAAATGGATGTGAATGGTAATAGATGGTATAGATGGCTATAGATATTTTTTATAAAGTAGAATAGCAGGATAGATGCGAATAACTGATGGATGGCCGGACTTAACACCGTGCCTATAGTTTCCCAGTCCGAGTTAAAGGTATCAAGAAAAGAGAGTAAAAATAGAGACAAGTGTGGTCAAATACCAAAAGGACTCCAGTGTACGGTAGCATCCAGAATCAGAACTGGCACCAGAATGATGCGGAGTTTGTTTGTATCTATCTATCTATGTATCTCCTATTTACTTGTCTGTTTTTCACATCTATTTAAGACAATAACAAGGTATAAAGAAAAAGAAACACATTGGAGGATTATTCTACATTGTCTTATTGTCTTACATTGTTTTATACTGCCTAATGTAACATGATCACATGTTGGCGTTCTAGAATTCCCTTTCTCACTTTGTGTCTAGGTGGATGGTTGGTTAATTACTAATCCCAGTTCCTCCCAGAATGCTGATACAATCTCTAGAGGTTCCATTTTGCACGGAGTGTGATTTCTGTTACAATTACCCATCTGTGCATTAAATTAGCATCCTTCTGTGACACGACGAAGAGTTTAAAGTTGAATTCTTTGTAAGCCAAGCAATATCTTAAAACAAAAATAAAAGATCTGGCAAGAGCAAGCTTGTAAAGCAACCTTTAGTGAAGCCTTTATGCTTCAGCTAGCCAGCATATTGTTGGATTCCTTTTATCTAACAGTCCTTGGCATGCCTATTTCACTTGATATTATTTCACTTCATATGCCTCAAATGTTTTATCTCTCAGAGAAGATAGTCTATAGCACAATTATTTTGACCCCATAGGGTCTCTTTCAAATTATATAACTGAATGTCTTGAAATTTGATTCTTAAATATTTCCAAAAATGTGGGGGTTTAGTACTGGGAGTCTGATTAATTATACTGTTCCTTCATCTTCATTTTGAAGGTTCTATATATGTATTTGCTCATTGTAATACATACACTGACCAGCTAAATATTCATAGATAACAGACTGATCCATAAAGTCTCTTCTTACTTTTATCTTGCCTCCAAAATCATAACAATCTCTAAGTCTTTGCAATTCTTACATAAGCTCCTTATTTAAAAGTATTTTGGAATTTAAACATTTTATTTTGTCAGTAAAGCTTTCAATGAATATTTACAGGCTTTCTGTTTCTCTAAATAGATTCCTCCATTATTTTCCAGCCTTTGAATGCCATTTGGGCTCGGGGAACAATTGCCCTGCCCACTTGACACTTGGATATCGCTGATCAATAAGGGAGATCTCCCCAATCAGGCAAGCATTTAGTAAAAT